TTACATTGTCTGCCTACCTTTAAGTCATCAGAAATAATCACCCCTAAATCCCTTTCCTCATAGGTTGAGGTTAGGACTCTATCAAATATTCTGTACTCTGCCCTTGGGTTTTTACGCCCAAGATGCATTATCTTGCACTTATCCACATTAAATGTCAGTTGCCACAATTCTGACCATTTTTCTAGTTTACCTAAATCATTTGTCAATTGGCTTATCCCTCCTGGAACATCAACCCTGTTACATATCTTAGTATCATCAGCAAAAAGACATACCTTACCATCAAGACCTTCTGCAATATCACTCATAAAAATATTAAACAAATATTTGATGTGAAATGAAAGCCCTATTTCTCTTGAACAAAATGATATATTGGAAGGCATGGCCTGAAGTTGTGGGAGGGGCTATAGACCTATAAAAGGGACTCCCCCCTTTCCCTACTTACCTTTGTTGGTAAGACGAATAGACTGTTCAAGGTCAGCATTTGCATGAGATCCACTTCCAGGTCATACAAGACACCATTTTGGTTTCACCTTTGCTCCATGAGGTCTCCTACTCCAAGCTGTGTCCAGGAATCCTGCAGCAGGGATTTCCGTTAATCCAGTGGCTTTCTCTCTGGTCAGCATCGCATTTGGTGTCTCAGGGACTCTCAAACCGTAAGTTGACCCACCTGTCGCGCCAGGATTAGTTCCCACGGCGTTCAACACAGCACAGGTCCTCACTTTACGGTTTCCTTTTGTTTTGCATGGTTATTTTGTTACCTTATACTCACCTAGCTGTTTATGTAAAATCTGTTGGTTAAAATCTGTTTTGGTTAAAATCTGTTGGGTTAAAACTACAAACGAAATAACATTTTTTCACCTACACACTGACCCCAATCAGTCATTCGGTGTACTACAGGCTTCTCAGATATAATGCATTTCATGTACAAACCAACAAATCGCTGCATTTTCACCTAGACACTGACCCCTACCGGTCATTCGGTGTACTACAGGCATCTCAGACATTATTGCATTTCCTGTACAAACCAACCAACCACTGCATTTGTGCCTACACACTGACCCCTATCGGTCATTCTGTGTACTACAGGCTTCTTAGACGTTTTTGCATTTCATGTACAAACCAATAAACCACTATTTTCACCTACACACTGACCCCTACCGGTCATTCGGTGTACTACAGGCTTCTTAGACGTTTTTGCATTTCATGTACAAACCAATAAACCACTATTTTCACCTACACACTGACCCCTACCGGTCATTCAGTGTACTACAGGCTTCTCAGATATTATTGCATTTCATGTACAAACCAACGAACCACTGCATTTTCACCTAGACACTGACCCCTATCGGTCATTTGGTGTACTATAGGCTTCTTAGAAGTTTTTGCATTTCATGTACAAACCACTGCATTTTCACTGCATTTTCACCAAGACACTGACCCCTACCGGTCATTCTGTGTACTACAGGCATCTCAGACATTATTGCATTTCATGTACGAACCACTGCATTTGTGCCTACACACTGACCCCTATCGGTCATCGGTGTACTACAGGTTTCTTAAACGTTTTTTGCATTTCATGTACAAACCACTGCATTTTCACCAAGACACTGACCCCTACCAGTCATTTAGTGTAACTACAGGCATCTCAAACACTATTGCATTTCATGTACAAATCAACGAACCACTGCATTTGCGCCTACACACTGACCCCTACCGGTCATTCGGTGTACTACAGGCATCTCAGACATTATTGCATTTCATCTACAAACCAACGAACCACTGCATTTGCGCCTACACACTGACCCCTATCGGTCATTCGGTGTACTACAGGCTTCTTAGACGTTTTGCATTTCATGTACAAACCAATTAACCACTGCATTTTAACCTACACACTGACCCCTACCAGTCATTCAGTGTACTACAGGCTTCTCAGATATTATTGCATTTCATGTAAAAACCAACAAACCACTGCATTTTTACCTAGACACTGACCCCTATCGGTCATTCGGTGTACTATAGGCTTCTTAGAAGTTTTTGCATTTCATGTACAAACCACTGCATTTTCACTGCATTTTCACTGCATTTTCACCAAGACACTGACCCCTACCAGTCATTTGGTGTAACTACCGGCATCTCAGACATTGTTGCATTTCATGTACAAACCAACGAACCACTGCATTTGCGCCTACACACTGACCCCTACCGGTCATTCGGTGTACTACAGGCTTCTCAAACATTATTGCATTTCATGTACAAACCAACGAACCACGGCATTTTCGCCTACATGCTGACCCTTACCGGTCATTCAGTGTACTACAGGCTTCTCAGACTTTATTTCACTTCATAAGCAAACAAACTAACTACAGCATTTTCACTTTTATACTGACTCCTATCTGTCAAACGGTATACTACAGGCTTTTCAGACATATGGTTATTCCCCTCATAACATTCCCACTATAATTATAATTACACAATAACACTTCCTTATAAATCATGCTTACTATGATATAATCATTCCTGCATACCTGCCTTCATAGGCATTTAGTTACATTTACTGACAATACGCATACATTTACCCAAGAATGCACATACTATTTAAAGCACTATGCAGTTTTCCAGAGTCTAATACGGAATATTTGCACGCTTAAAATATAAGTCCTTCCAATTATGTATTTTCACTTATTAGGTTATTCAGCTGCCAGTCATGGTTCACTACACTCATGTTTCGGGGTACAGTTGTGTTCCATATCACACATGATATAACACTCCCGACAAGTTAATTTCCTTCAAACAGGGGCATTACAAGCATACAATAAACATTGGGACAGAGCACTTTGCTCTATTAAACTTGCATAACACACATATGGATATACGCTTTTAAATGTCTATATCCGATTTTCATACATTGTTTTACCCGTCTGGGATACAGGTATTAATAACCTTTACGACCAGTAAGGGTATCTAATCATACTACCAGGTACATACACCTGCTCATGTGGTATATACATAAATTTTCTGTTTCCCCCTGGGTATATCCTTAGCGTACTGGCAATTAGGGACTATAGGTTTCCAATAGATATTTTCCTTTCTTGGCATCTACGCCTGTCGTATAGTGGTCCCGCGAGGCCAACACCCCGCCTCAACGCTCGGAGGCAAACACCCATCGGGCCACTCGTGAGCTAGCCGCCTCGCATGGTATATAGAGAGGGCCTCACCTGTCACTCCCTTCCCCTTTTTTATGGTTACAGTCACCGAGAGGCCAACATCCTGCCACTACGTTTGGTGGCCACAAAAATCCCCTCGCGCCATTGCATAGATAGAGCCTCTCAAGCCACTTGGCAACTAGCAGGGCCTCACCTGTCACCAAACAAAGGATTAATTGTTTCGCCTTGCGGCTTTAGCTATCAAGCCAGTGCTAGCACACTGTGGGTTCATATAATAATGGCTATCTTCATGATTTTTAGTATGTATCAAGCACGTGGTAAGGATTTCTCTCTACCTAACACTCCAGCTAGAGTCAACACACTTTCACTTGGAGCTGTTGCTAGTCCCACAGGACAATTTTGTCCCAACACAGCGGACGATAACGTTTCAGGCTCCAGGCTCTAGCACCTCTGGTAGGACGTAGCGAACTACCAGAGACAAATTGGGTCGTCTCATTCTCTTTGGTAAATCCCAGATTTGCAACAATTTCCATGTTGGCACATGTAGTTTCAGTGCATGCAGACTGTTGCAGATATGTTCCCAATATGTCAGGGCACATGCAAAACCATGTGTCCCAATAAATGTACCCTGAACCTTACTTCTCGTCTGTAAACATTATGCATTTCCAGTACTTTCTAACTTATCACCCTTCCAGACATTTAGTTTATTTCCTAATCTCCGATTTTAAAGGCCTTCTGTTCAGGTATTGCCATATACTTTTGGGGGAATCTAGAATGCCCTAACTTGCAGTCATCACAGCAGCATCCAACAGCTGGCATTACACTCATGGCCCAAGAAATGGCAGAAAGATTTCTACCTGGGCCTCTCCGATCTACACCATTTACAGTGTGGCGCAATCCCATTGGGATTGTCGCAGGGAATCTTCCCTCACACTGTAACTGATCATAGACTTATCTGCACCTCACGTCTCGGCTACCCCATAATCTCAACTCCCTCATACCCTCCGAGGAGTTTTCATTACAGTATGCCACCATTGTTCATACCATGACAACTATCACTCAAGCAGGGAGGGGAAGCCTGGTTAAGTAAAACTGATATCACAAACGCATTTCAGACTGCCACCATCCACCCTGCACTGGCACTTACAGGGCATTTATGAGCAGCAGTTATATATTTCTTCTCCCGCTTAACTTTCGGGTCAAGAGCAGCCCACAATCTTCAATATATTCGTTGAACTCTTTACTGGTTGTGGTTAAACATATCCAGATGCCCCACAGTCATACACTCCCGAGATGATTTCTTGTTGGTCAAAGGGAATGCCTTTCCCTCTAGAAGCTTCAAGGAAGCCATTAGTATGTCTGAACACTTGGGTGTCCCAGTATTCCCTAAGGTCACAGAAGACCCAGACACTGTCGTTACATTCCTGGGCATACAACTTGACTCGGCATCCATACCAACAAGTTACCACGCGAGAAATAGGAACAGTCGCAACAACACCAATTACCACCTCCTGCTTGGTACTTGCAACCACATGGAACTACAATCCCTACCAGGTTCCGTAAATTTTGCCATGCACATCGTACCGCAGGCCACGCTTTCATCTCAGACCACTTTGCTTTTTCCTCCCTCCCGAATGATGATCAGGGGCTGTCCCTAGACAACCAAGCCATGGCAGACCTACACATATGGTGGACTTTCTTAACCACACGTAATGGTAAATTATTGTGGCAGCTGCCGTGACAGCCGCCATGGCAGGGGGTCATTTATGGTCAAGGTCATGGATTACATGAACCTCGCCAACATAGCCGGGCTCTGACTAAACTGGCCTTGTCCACCAGCACTCAACACGCTTGCTACAGGGTTTTCCACTTATACAATACGTTTCATGTCGGACCATCACTTAGCTGGTTTGAGGTTTCACCACGTATGGCCTTCGCCTCTTTTTTGCCACCTTAAGTTAATAATTCTCGCACAACACGGTTAAACTTTATCTCACGGGCATTCAACACTATACGTATTTCTCCATCCCTAACAACAAGGCTTCCTATCCTCCTACCCCATACATACCTTACTTAGAGACATGGCCAAGCGGACGTTCCTGCTAAAACTAAATACTGGCCATAGACATACAATGTTCAAACCATGACAGAACCACTCGACCATGCACTTCCGAGCCACGCACCAATGCAGTTATCAAAACTGCTACCTATCTAGCCTTTAACGGCTTTCTCAGGCCAAAACAATAACTCACTATCAGCGGCCAACATCATAAACAAGAGTGCCTGTTGACCTCTTATCTTCTAAAACACACAGACCACTATGTCCGGTCCCTTCCTAAAACTAAGATGAGTCAGAGGGGCGAGCCAGTGCATATAACCTACTACCTTACAAGCACTGCTGGGTGCCCGGTTAAGGTACTGATTACGTTCTTGGGCACGCCACCATACGCACCACTGAACCATTACTGTCGCTGTACGATACTGTCCTTACCACAGGTAAGTTCATGCACTATGTCCACCTACTCATTCATCATGCTCGAACTAAACCCTAGCGACTACTCAGGGCACTCCTTTTGGATAGGAGCAGCTTACACAGCCCATAGCCAAGACATCCCCGCACACGTTAAGACACGGGGCCGCTGGGAATCATAGGCTTATGCGACGTACATACCACAGCCGATTCAGGAATTAGGACGCTTTCATTAAAATGTCTAACTGATGGTTAACAAATGCACTATGATCCTGTATAATGTTTTGCATTAATATGTCTTTTTGCCCACTTTTTACCGGCTTACAGCATACGTCGGTTTCGGCAAACCTCAACCGATTATTCCTAAAGCTACATCTCTACAACCATCTTATTCTATATCATATGAGAATGCCCCGAACACAAATTGGAAGGCATGGCCTGAAGTTGTGGGAGGGGCTATAGACCTATAAAAGGGACTCCCCCCTTTCCCTACTTACCTTTGTTGGTCAGACGAATAGCCCCACCCTCCACTCCCATTGTTCATATTTCCTCTATGTAAGCCCACTTTTTACCGGCTTACAGCATACGTCGGTTTCGGCACACCTCAACCGATTATTCCTAAAGCTACATCTCTACAACCATCTTATTCTATATCATATGAGAATGCCCCGAACACAAATAATAAGTGTATGAGCACTTAATATGAAAGAGGGAATTATGGTTGAACAGACATATAGCGCAAATTCTAGGTTTTGTTGCGGTTCAGAACTTGGACAATTCCCTCCATTCTTAAGGGATCTCTAAAATTAATGCTACATTAATACAAAGTGTTTTGACTGTTAATTTGCAGGCTACGCATCTTTCAAAGTTGGAACCGTTTTAATCTATATTTTATTAGTGTGAAAGCTGATGGCAGAACATTGGACTTAATTTACATTAGCGAACACATCTAACACATCTAACTAGAAGCAGTAAGCCTGTGCAACAGAGGACATGATTTAATGGATCAGCACCTCTAACCTTTACAACATTCTACACAAGAAAATCCCCTTCTGATGTTTAAGCAACAATGATTAAAATTTGCATAATTTATTCTTTATATGTAATTGAGAAATTGCTTTGGTTCACTATGTGTACCCAGCATAAGTTAATGCGGTACTGCCATCCCGTTTTTTTTTTTGTTTTTTTTTTAAACCATCCTCCCGACTCCACTACCTCTAATTGTCCCCCTAGTTACTCCCAAATACCCCTAAGCCTCCATATTACCTATTTTTTAAATCTTTATTTTGTTCCCGGACCTAGGTTCTGGGCGCCGCCATCTTTTGGGCATGCGAACTGGAATTTCATCTATTCATTCATTCGTCAAAAAGACGAATGAATGAACAGAAATGTTAGACGAACAAACAAACACTGAATATCGGTGTTCAATCATTTAGTTTATCACAAGGAGGGAGCTACTGGCTCGCAGCTCCCTCTTTGTAAAATGTAAAAATAGAAGCGGCAAGGAGCAGTGCCCCCCATAATAGCATAAGGGAGATTAAAATCATGCAGCGAATAGAGGCATGTCTACTAAACAGTGAGCAGCCAGTGGCTTCTCACTGTTGTAAAAATAACCCCCCCTTCCAACAAATGGCCCCATGGTGGGGCATCTATTAACAAGTGAGGGGGACATAGTGTCCCCCTCATGTCCCCACCCATGGCCTGCGAGTGGGGGCTATTAACCTAAACAGGGGACATATGGTCTCCCTTGGCCCCCACCCATGAGTGGCGGGTGGGGGCCATAAATGAAAATGAGGGGGGGCCTATTGTCCTCCCCCCGGCCCCACCCATGAGCGGCGGGTGGGGGCACTAAATGAAAATGGGGGGGACCTATTGTCCTCCTCCCTGGCCCCCACCCATGAGCAGCGGGTTGGGGCCCTACATTACAACAGGGGGCCCTATTGTGCTCCCCCCGGCCCCCACCTGTGAGCAGCAGGTGGGGCCCTAAATGAAAATGTTTGGTGGGGGACCTATTGTCCTCTCCCCCGCCCCCACCCGTGAGGGGCGGATGGGGTCCCTAAATGACAATGGGTGGGGGACTTGCTGTCCTCCCCCTGACCCCACACATGGATGATGGGTGGGGGCTAAGTGTACAAATACTCCCCCCCCTCTGTGACTAGTGGACCCCAAGCCACTAGTCACCCACACCCCAAATAAAATTAAATCAATCCCTACTTATCCCCCTCACCCTAAAAATATTGAGGGAGGAGGTAATAAAAAAAAAAATACCTAGAAAAAAAAATCTGGATTCCCAGCAATAGGTCCCACCCCCCCTTATTGTTATTTAGGGCCCCCACCCGCCACTCAGGGGTGAGGGCCAGGTGGGAAGACAAAAGGTCCCCCCACACACATTTTCATTAAGGGCCCCAAGCCGCCGCTCAGGAGTGGGAGCCAGAGGGGAGAACAATAGGTTCCCCCCCCCCCAATTTTCATTTAGGGCCCCCACCTGCCTCTCAGGGGTGGGGGAGGGCAATAGGTCCCCCCTTATTGTTATTTAGTGCCCAAACCCGCCACTCATGGTTGGAGGATAATAGGTACCCCGCCCACATTTTCATTTAGGGCCCCCAGCCGCCGCTCATGGGTGGAGGCCGGGGGGAGGACAATAGGTGTGTCCCCCTATTGTAATTTAGGGCCCCCACCTGCCTCTCATGGGTGGGGGTCGGGGGGGAAAAAGGTCCCCCTTCAGTTTAATAGCCCCCACTTGCACAGCACGGGTGGGGGCTGGCAGGGTGATACTAGGGGTTGTTGTTTTTAACAGTGAGCAGCCACTGTTTTTATTTTTTTCTTCCACCAATCACTTAGTGGGTTATTTGCTAAACACCGAATTATATCAAAATGGTAAAACTAAGAATACAATAGCTGATTTGGAAAGAATTATCTATCACAGCTGTTGTCATTTTAGCCTTAATTTTGTCAGATTTATTTTGCTAAAATTAATTGTTTAGTGAATAACCCTGCTGATTGTAGTGAACTGAAAACAAAATTCCAAAATTACGCAAAATTTTTGTTAAAAAAAGCTGATTTGTAAAAGAGCTGGGTTGGAGAATTTTTCCAGATGGAGTTCTTTGTCCTACATACTCCCAGCTCCCTGGTGCCATGAAGTTATTAGCATCAATGACAATATGTCCGCGCTTATAGAGGACATATCAACCCTGCGCACATGTGTTGATTTGATTTAAGACAAGTGTTACGAAGAGCTCTTGATGTAGTTAGCTAGCTTCCACACCCAGTACGTTGCATGCTGGAGCTCTTTCAAAGGGATTGTTGGTCTCTCGATGGCTATTTTCATCAGTTTCTTTCTGCTTTGAGCTCGAGGATGGCCTTTTCTTGGTAATGCCTGGGTGATGTAATGCAGCATCGACTTCCTGATTATTGATCCAACTGTGCTTCCAAGGATATCCAAGCACTTGAATATTATTTTATACCCTTTATCGCATCTACGCGTTTTTACTGTATAATGTCTTTAAAAAATACTCTTTTATTTTCCTTCAGAGGCATAGTGTGAGCAACTACAACATAAGGGAATCTACAGATATAAGAAAAGAAAATCCAACAAACAGGGTTATACTGTAACTATCACCAGACAAATGGTCTCTAGATTACACTCACAAGATATCAGAAATGACAGGTGTGTCTCCCATTTAGGGGTTACAAACCTCAAATCCTTATGTCTTCCTATGCAGGTTCACTTAAATATGTGAGAAACACAACATAGTGTGTACTATTTCAAAACACAAAATCTTTAATCAAAATTGCACTTACAAAACAGATATTCTCAAGAATATATTACAATACTCAGGATAAATATATTATAGAACTCAGGAACAATCCCTCGTTTTTCTATATTAGTTTCATGACTCCATAGTCAAACAAAAAACATAAATAAAGCAAATGCAGAATATCCCAATGCAGTTCAGCCGCTCTGCACCAACTTCTGCAGGTGAAAGTTTAGGATCCAGTGATCATCAGTCAGTGTGGTTTAATATAAGAACAGTGACTGAGTCACACCACACACAAAAAAAGGTTTAGACTTTAAAAAAAACAGACTTTTCTAAAATTAGAATATGTGTAAAGGAGTCATTATCAGACTGGAGCAATTTAAATGGAGTCCAAGAGAAATGGGATTATTTAAAAGTTGCACTGCTGAAGGCAACAGAACATTTCATTAGGCTTGTCAGTAAAAGCAAAATTCAAGAAACCACTTTGGTACTCCGCAGATGTGGCCAAAAGAGTAAAAAAAATAATAAGTTAGCATTTAGTAATTATTTTAAAAAAAAAACAGAGGAAGACAGAATGATCTATAAGATTAGGCAGAAAGAGGCTAAACAAGTTATAAGAGCTTCCAAATCACACACAGAAGAGAAAATAGCACAGTCAGTAAAAAAAAAAAAGAAAAAAGGGGGACAAAACATTTTTTAGATACATAAATGAGAAAAGAAAAGTAAAAAAAGGATTAGTTAGATAAAAAACCAAAGAAGGAAGGTATGAAGAAGAGGATACATTTCTAGCTGACTGCCTCAATGAATATTTTTGTTCAGTATTTACAGATGAAAATGAAGGAAAGGGACCTCAGTTAGGAAAAAGGACAAATGAGTAATTTATTACATGTGAGTTTAC